ATTAGCTCTTCTGAGCAACACACTGATCTAAGACATCTCCAAAAGATTCATGATGGAAAATGCTTTCCATATCCAAAGAAAGAAATGATGGGAGTCTGAATGCAGATCAAAGAATACTTTTTTTTTTCCACTTTATTTTTTCCATGTTTTTTTTCTTTTGATTTGTTTCTTCTTTGACAACATGACTAATATGGAAATGTGTTTAATACGATTCCAGGTTTTTCTGAAGTCTACCTGTTTATCATTTCTTATAGTACAATAGTATTCCATTACATTCATATATCACAACTTGTTCAGCCATTCTTCAACTGATAGATATCCCTTCAATTTCCACTTCTTTACCACCAAAAAAACAGCTGCTATAAATATTTTTGTACATGTGGATCCTTTTCCCGTTTTTATGACCCCTTTAGGATACAGACCTAGAAGTCGTATTGCTGGGTAAAAAGAGTATGCAGTTTTATAGCCCTTTGGGCACAGTTCCAAATCACCCTCCAAAATGGATGGATCAGTTTACAACTCCACCAACAATGCATTAGTGTTCCAATTTTCCCACATCTCCAACATTTATCATTTTCCTTTTTTATCATGTTAGCCAATCTGATAGTTGTGATGTAGTACTTCAGAGTCATTTTGATTTGCATTTCTCTAATCAATAGTGATTTAGAGTAGACAACTCCAAAAGACTCACAATGGAAAATGCTATCCACATTCAGGGAAAGAACTATAGAGTCTGAATCCAGATGGAAGCATACTATTTGCTCTCCTTTTCTTTTGTTGTTTTGTTTCTTCTTTCTTGTGGTTCCTCCCATTAGTTCTAATCCTTCTCTACATCATGATTAATGTGAAAATATGTTTAATATGAATATGTAAGTAGAGCCTATATCAGACTGCATGCTGTCTTGGGGAGGAGGATAGAGAGGGAAGGGGGGAAATTTTAAACTCAAAATCTTATGGAAATAAGATTTAATTAATTAATTATTTAAAATTAAAGGGAAAAAAAAGCAATGACAAGCAGGACACTCAGAAAAACCTAGAAAGACTTAAATGAAGAACTGCTGTAAAGTGAAATGAGCAAAATCAGGAGAACACTGTATACAGTAACAATATTAAATTAGCTATTCTCAGCAATACAATGATACGAGACAATTCTGAAGAACTTATGATAAAAAAGGCTATCCATCCCCAGAGAAGAACTCATGGGACTCTGAATGCAGATCTAAGCATACTTTTTCTTTATTTTTCTTCAGTTTTGTTTTCTGTGTTTCCTTTCACAACATGAGTAATATGGAAATATGTTTTGCATGACCACACATACATAACCTATACAAAATTGCTTGCCTTCTCAATTGGAGGAGGGAGGAGGAAGAGGGGAGAAAAAAGGGAGAGAAAGAATGTGGAACTCAAAATTTTTTAAAATGAATGCTAAAAATTGTTTTTATTGCTTGTAATTGGGGAAAAAATAAAACATTAAATTTATAAACAAAAAGAAATAACTGGTAACTAACATGAGGATTTCAGAATTAAGAAAAAGTCAAAATTAACATCAGATTAGATATACAGAGATGAAAAGGCACTAATTACAATTATAACAGCTCTGACAAAAATTATTTAAACAATCTATTGACAAAAAAAACAGAGTTTAATAAAGTAGAAAACAAGTTACCCAGGGGAAAATCTCCCTATTTGATGAGAAGTGTCAGAAAAATTGGAAAGCAGTCTGGCAGTAATTAGGTTTGGTCAACATCTTACACCACACTCCACAATATGTTTTAAATGGATAAATGACTTTAATATTAAAGATACTTTTATAAAAAAGAATAACAGATCATATGACTCTTACAGCTATGGGTAAGAAAGGTATCCTTAACCAAACAAAAGATAGACGAATCGGAAAATATAAAAAAAAAACTTTTATCACTTGAAACTGAAAAGCTTCTGCACAGACAACATTAATGAATCTAGAATAAGAAGGGAGCGGTCAAATTAGAAAAAAAAATTTGTAAAGGGTTTGTTTTATATATACATATATATATGATTAAAAGCCATTCTCCAATAAATAAATGGTCAGTGGATATGAACAGCTTTCAAAAGAACTGGAAAATATTCACAACCACATGAAAAAATGCTCAAAATCACTAATAATAAGGGAAATGCAAATCAAAACAATTCTCAGGTTTTACCTTACATCCTGTAAATTAGCCACAAAAAAAAATACCAACAATGTTGGAAGGCTTATGGAAAGATAAGTACGCTATACACTGCTGGTGGAGCTATGAAATGGTACAACTTTTTTGGAAAGCAATTCAGAATTATGCAAATAAAGTGACTAAAATATTCATACCTTTTGAATCAGAGATTTTATTACTAGGCTTATACCCCAAGGAAGCCATCAAAAACAAAATCGTCCTCATATACTCCAAAATATTTATATCAGCACTTTATGTGATAGATGAGAATTGGAAACAAAAAAGATGTCCATCAACTGAGAAACAGCAAGGTTGAGAAGAATACAAAGAAGCTTGGAAAGAACTATATGAACTGATGCAGAATGAAGTGAACAAAGACAAGGAAATAATACATACAGTAATTACCAACAATGTAAATGGAAAGAATGACAACAAAAAAATAAAAAATAAATACAATAAAATTATAAAGATCTTGAATAGAAGAGATATGGGAAGACACTCCCAATCTACCCTTTTGTGGAAGTGGGAGATCCACAATTGTTACACAATGTTTCAGGTTTTCTCAATATGTCAATCAATTTTGTTGACTGTTTTGAACAAATATGCTTGTCATATGGGATGGCTCTCTGGGAAGAAGAAGGATATATGAGATACTATGGTAATGTAACAAACAGAAAATATCCATAAGAATTTATTTTAAAAATCTATCAACTCTGAAGAATGAAAAAAGGATAAAATAAAGAAACATAAACTGGCTTTCTTAGATATGTTTAAAGGTCCAAAAAGGTCCAGAAACCACCTCAACCAACAAACACTTTGGTTTCCTTGCCAAACATCAAGAGTGTTACCCAAGGGTAACAATGACTTTAAAGCAGAAATTCATTTACAAAAAAAATTATGGAGGATGAAGCCAGAAGATTGATCACAAGCAATATTGTTTCAAAAAAACAGGGAAGACCATGCTTCATAAACCTTCAACTATTTAAATATCCCCTGGTAGCTCATTAAATACTTTGCTTAAGTAAACAAAGGCACTGGAATTAGAGTTTGAAGACATGAGCTCAAATTCCAGCCCTGACCTTAGTCAATTCACTTAACCTCTTTGGGTATCAAGTCTCTTCACATAATATCAATAAAAGGTTTAAAACTGATGGCCACTAAGGAACTTCTATGAAACACTAAATCCCAATCCCAGACAAATGAAATTTATCTCAGCAAGTGAAAAAAGAGGTTTGAACAGGTGCAGAATTAGGCATATTCAGGCATGATCAGTGAGCTTTTTTGTTTTGCTTAATTGTACTTCTTTGTTACAAGACAGTATCTTATGGGGTTAGAAAATATTGGGAACTGACAATAATGTTTAAAAAAAAAAGCAACAATTTAAAAAAATTTAAGATATAAAGAAAGAAAGCAGGACATGATGAAATTGCCTGACAAAAAGGTAATATGAGAAATTTTTTTTGCTTGACTATGAATTACAAGAGATTTTTCTTTTTTTTCCCCCAATGAGAGAACAGACTAGAAGGGGGTGAAAATGGATTTTTGTTACTTCAAAGTTAAATTTTTAAAAATTAATAAAAATAAAAAACAAAGCTAGATCCAAAAAACATGCACAACGACTATAATTCACTAAAGAAAGGCAACAAAACTCAAGACAAATTCAATAGTCAATGTTAGTACCAAATTACTCAAGTTAAAGCACACATCCTTTTTCTCTTAACTATCTTTATCTTTTAACTACAGAAATAAAAAATGACATTTTATTACTGCAATTGTTCAATTTGGTGGTATTGCTAAAATGTTTCTGGAGAATGTATTTTGTGATAGCACCTTATTTGGGCAGTCAAAAGGTATATTGTATCAAAACAAAATGTATCAATTAAAAAATGGACAGGAATAATACAAAGTATATGTAGTAGAGGTACTTTTCAAATACACTGAAATGCAGAATTAGAGCTGGAAGAAATTTTGGAGATAAATTCATAGAATCTTGGCACTAGTAGAGAGCTCAAAACTATCTAGTCCAATATGCACTTGAATCAGAATGTCTTCCTCAATATTTATGACAAATGACTATCAAACTTGCGGAACCCAGTAGGGGAATCTATATTTCGAGGAAGCACATTTCATTTGGGAACAACTATAATTGATAGAAATTTTTCTGTAACTCAATTAAATGCCCTTGCAACTGATTTGTCAATTTGGCCTAGGACACACTGTGTGACCTAGTAGCTACCTCTAGGATATTAGAGGAGAATGGTAAATGCTGGTGACAGAAATGATTTCCTAGTGCTTCATGTATCACCCTTACAAAAAAGGACACTTGTCTTCTCCTGTAATTGACAGTCCCAAAGAACCTCATTTTGGATTTATTGCAAAAGAGGCTCTTTAATTACTCAGCAACAGCTCTTTAAAGGAGACCAGTCCAAATGGGCTAGGAAATTTTCCACAAAAAAGCTAAATCTCAGGTGATAGCTACAGGTTCACCCTTGCTTCACTGTGAGGTCAGAGGATAGGTACAAAAATGAATTTATATGGCTTTTTAAATAAAAATTTAATTGCTAATACATAAGTGTTCATACACTGAAGGAAAAATAAATGCTAAAAGGCAAAATTTTACAAAGATAAATTCTTAAGAGACCAGTCAATGAACTTAGAAAACATTGCCCTCATTCCTGGGTTTTTACTAAAAGGCTATTGACTTTTTAATATGATAGCTTCTGAAGAACTATCAATAACTGTCACAACCTAAGGCCACTTTGAAGTAAAAATACAACAGGAAAAGAGAAACTTGTTGTACCAATCACTTACTTCATAAATGTTAGGGTGCCACATTTTCGTCAGGAATCTGAAGGTAGGTGGTGAATATGGATAGTCAATAGGAAATTTAATATGAGCCTAGAAAAGACAAAAAATACAAATAAATTATAAGACCTTGGTATTTATTTCCTTCACTAACTAATCTCACTAAAGCCCAGTAAGAGAGTTTGCTCTTACTGACCACAGTATAAGAATTCATTAAGCTACAATATGAGTCAAAAGTTCCAATTCAGACTTGCCCCAAATGCCATGAGAATATTTCTACTTTAAATCTTTTTCAAGTATTTCCAGATGCTTATTAAAATCATCATGCCAGTTTTTTTTTTAAATGAACTTTAGGAATACAAGAACACCCAAGTCTGCCATTTCTTAACTTGGCTTTAGACAATTTAATCTCTCTGAGCCTCAATTTCTTCAACCTGTAAAATAATGACAATTCCTACACAGGATTCCTACACACAATTCCTTACATGATTTTTGTAATGATTAAATGAAATTAGAAGTGGTATTATTTTGTAAACAGCTGTGACAAAATGTTATTCAGGTGCACAGCAATGTTATATTACATAAAATCTGTTACTATTTTTTCTAAATGAACACTATGATTATTATATATAAAGAATCTAAAGATAAAAGTCACTTCAAAAGCACATATTAATATAGTTAAAAGATACAGCACTCTTTTTACGTACTTAAAGACAAGAAAGAAAAGCATTTGTTATATTTTATATTTGAGAGGAAGGTACCCTTTTAGAAATATAATTCATTAGCATTGTTAAGAGTAAGATTTGAGCAGCATGACATTAATAAACCTAACATTTATACAAAACTTTTAACAGCTGCAAAGCACTTTATAAATATTATCTCATTTTATCCTGACAACAACCCTGGGAGGTAGATGCTATTATTATCATCCCATTTTTACAGATGTAGAAAGTGAGGCAGAGTTTAAATGACTTGCCCAAGGTCACAAAGCTAATCAGTGTCCAAGCAGAATTTTAATTCAGGTATTCCTGAGTCCAAGTCCTGCACTCTGTTCACTACATCACTTTTCTGCCTATGAATATTAGTCTGAATTTCCAGTATTCAGAATAAACGGATGGCAGTAACTTCTGGGAAGCACTTGTAGCTGAAAAGGAGGAAAGTTTTCCTTTCCTTTTTACAGCACACCTATAATGCCACCAAGAATGATGCTATTGGTTTTATTTCATATATGTTTCACATATGTTCATCTGTATATCTCTAAGGAGAGAAAAAAATCTAACAACTCTAGAGACCAGCTGAGGAGGGTATCCCAAAAACACAGAATGGACAAAGCAATAGATTAAAAGGCTTGAGTTCAATTTGATGAAAGGAGCTTGAGCCAAGGGACAGAGTCCTATAATGAAATCATGATATTCCAGGAAAACATAAGATTGTAGACCAATGAACAGCTATTTCACTTTAGGTAGTGAAGAGATCAGATACCACTTTACAAAAGACATCTGGAAAATGGCTGAGGCCTTACAAAGATTATGCGTTGAAAGCATTTTTAACTCACACAGGATGTTAGCTAGACATATGACTCCAACTACGTCTTAAGAGAGTAAGCACCCAAAAGAATATATGTATCAAAATCCAGATAGAAAGGAAGGCAAATATGGATATAGCATATGGAAATGTACAAGAATGTCAAGTCTGCCTCAATCTGAGGGAAATCTCTAACCTCTTTCCAGATTGATACTTTAGCTTTGGAAGTTCTAAGAGAACAGTGGCCACCTACAAAGGCTTACCACTCCCTTAGGAGGTACTAAAAAGCTCCATTCTCCCTAAATCATCTATAATCACAAAACTGGAGTTACACATGCCAGTGCCTAAAGGCATTTGCTTACTCAATAGTGATGAACACACAAAGTGATCAGAAGTCAAAGTGAATCGCCACAGAGGTACCAAAGATTACACCAATGGACATTATAGAGGCCTAGTAAAGGCTGACTTACATGCACCACTATATGGATTCAGCTAAAAGAACAAACAAGGCAACTGAGCTAAAGACAGAAAGATGAACTTTAAAGATATAAGTGTAATTGAAGTAATGAGACATTTATAAAGTAATGAGATCTGAAAGTTTGTCTATGCCGTAAAACAATTAAGTCTATAGAATGATTGGTGGTTTGATATTCAAGCAAAACATCTATTGTACTTTAGAGGCAAAGCATTCAAAAAACCAATAGAGACTTATAACTTTCAAAGAGCTGAAGAAAAGGTAGGCGCCCATCAACTGAGGAACAGCTGAAGGAACTATGTTATACAAATGTAATGGAAATATACCATAAAAACTAGCATGAACAATCCAGAGAAACTTGGGAAAATGTATGTGAATTTATGCAGAGCAAATAACACAGAACTAAGAGAATATTTTACACAATGACTACAAGCAAGTAAAATACAATTGAAAGACTTCAGAATTGTGATCAACACAACACAGTGACCATTTTTAACTTGGAGAACTGAAAGCAAAAAAAGTTTCTCACATTTTAGCAGACAGGTAGTACAAAACAGATGCAGTATGAGGCAAACATTTTCAGACATAGTCAATGTGTTGATGGGGGGGTGATATTAACTGTACTTATTCATTTGTTAGGAAGGTTCAGGAGTGGGGATTATTTAGAAGGCGAAAGTGATATAAAAATCACTTAAAAAATTTTTTTAAGTTCAAGTCTGTCTCTTTTTCTTTTTTTTTTTGTTTTTGTTTTTGCTTTTTCAGAGAGGCAATTGGGGTTAAGGGACTTGCCCAGGGTCACACAGCTAGTTAGTGTCAAGTGTCTGAGGCCGCCTTGGAACTCAGGTCCTCCCTGACTCCAAGGCCAGAACACTATCCACTGCACCACCTAGCTACCCCACTTTTTTTTCTCTTTTTAAAATAATGAACAGTGTCCTCCCAGTTAACTTTTCCTCTTTTGTGACTATAGATGATCTAGGGAGAATGGAGCTTTTTAGTAGCTCCTAAGGGAGTGGTAGTGATCTATGGGTTCCTGACAGAAATACTTTTTTTTAATGCTTCAGAGTCCCAGAAATCAACATGAAATAAATCTGTCTACAAATATAATTGTGACACAGGACATTCTTGAAAATATATATAATATTTTGGGTTTGTATTATATAAACTCTGAAATTAAACATTATATAAATGTCATGGGATATTTAACAGAAGACTCAACTTAAGTCTACAAATGTGGAAAAAAAGATTTAGGACTAAAGAAAGCCAGGCTGCAACATGCTCTATTAGTAAAAGTATCATAGAAACAGCAAAAAAAAAGTTTTTATACTATATATCTTTTAATTCTAATGATGAATGTCCATAACTATACGTAATATGTACCTAAATGTACCAAAACTAACAAGCAAATATTACTCTCTTGGGAAAAAATAAACCAACCAATCAAGAACTGGTAGGTACAGTAGTCAAACATCTGTCAAGCATTTTTTTTTACCCTGCAGTTCAGACAAGCATACTTTTTGTTGCTAAAAAAATCCAAAGTAGTCTGGAGAAAAAAGTATTAATTCAGAGTGTGTTTCTATAATTATTACTACTTCAGATTTGCCCTGGTAGAATTAAGATCTTACTGCAAAATCAAAGGCAAATATTTCCTACAGAGTAATAAAACCAAGACATAGATGGAATTTGCCAAAGAAAGCAAACATAAGAGAGATTTTGAGGCTAAATTTAGGTAAGTTCTTCACCATATAAGAGATATTAATATTGTTCTCCCAAGTTGTAGCTTGCAGTACGCCCCAGATATCCTCCCGTTTTTAAGTCTGAACACTCGAATTTTTACTCTGGTCACTTTACTGCGATTTTCATGATTCTGGGTACCTTCACAAAGGTCCAAGGAGGCTGAGCAGAAAGAACAGAAACTGAGTGAAATGACTGACTTCTAAGCTGAGTAGTTCAGAAGACACAACAATGCTTAGAATTGTGGGAGAACAGAATGTGCATGAAGAGATTAGAAGTAAAAGGAAAACTTAAAATGTTCATTCAGAGTATACAAAGACTTTTTATGACTACATTTATTAGCTACTATATGAGTTTTCTACATTGCAATCAGTTGTCTAAATCCTAGGGTAATAAAAGAAATGGTAAATATAATTACTAAGCAAGTGTCAGTCTGATAAAAGATTATGGAGAATGGGGAGTTGCCACAGTATAAAAGAAAGGCAAAATTGCTCCAAATTTCAGAAAAGAGAAGAAATCTGAATGTATAAAATATAGGCCAGTAGCCTAACCTTCAATTTTTGGCAAATTCTACAAAAGGATGGTCTATGAGCATCTTGAAAAGAAAGAAGTGATCACAAAGAACCAGGTTAACCATCTCTCTATGCACCTGTACTGCTCAGCATTTTTAGCAATGACTTGGATGAAAACATAGATGGCCTGTTTATCAAATTTGTAGGTAACAGTAAGTGGGGAAGATAACTAACAAGCTGAATGACAGACTCAGAATATAAAAAAATAATCATAATGACACTATAGAAAGATGAGCTGAATGTACTATGATATATATTACAGATAAATATAAAGTCTTACCCTTAGGTTCAAAAAGTCTCCACAAATTTGAGACAGTCTAAGTACAGCTAAACAACAGTTTGTGCAACCTTAGGCCGCGTTAATAGTAACAGCATCTGGAACAAAGGAGATTCCAGTTTCATTTGTCTCTGCCCTAATTAAACCATAAGTGGAATAGTCAGCTCAGTATAGAACGTTATATTTTAGGAAGAACACTGACAATCTGAAGAACATTCAGGAAAAAGAGACCAATCTGCTGAATATAGGCCCTCAAACTATACCATGTGGGGAGAAATGGAAGGAACTAGGAATGTTTTGCCCAGAAAAGAGAATATACGATAACTATCTTCAACTATCTGAAAGGCTGTCATGTGGAACAATTACTAATTCAGTTTGGCATTAGAGGGCAGCACTAGGAACAATGGGTGGAAGCAGATTAAAGACAAAAACAAAAAAACTTTCTGACAATTAGAACTTTGCCAAAGTGGAATGGGTTGAAGAGGCACATGGTGGATTAAATGAGTTACCATTA